GGCGAGCATACAAATGAGCCACGTGGAAATGGAAATTCTCATAGCACAGTGGGATGTAGAGCAGAAGGAGGCCAGCGATGATTACAGCTGCCAACTGTAAAAGAGGAACAGTCATGAGGCAAGGAAGAAAATAAACTGAGGACCAGCTACAGCAAATATTTCATCTGAGCTCTGAAGCCTCCCAAAGCTATTCCCCACAGATAAATGGGAGGAAAGGCTCACACAACCACAGAAATCAAAGTCACCTTTGATAGAGAGCCAGTTCCAGAGTTTCCACTGAAGCTGGCAGAAAAAGCCCCACTGAATTCAGTGAGCAGTGCATCAGCTCCCGAGTTAATTTCCCCTTTAAGCTCTGCTATAGCAAAGGAAACTACAATCATTTTCTTTTCTCATGGTCCTATTGAAGAGAAGGGAAAAACATCATAAGGTCCCATCAGGCTTTTACAAACAATTTATCAAAGAGGCTTGCCAGAAGGAGCCTCATTCCCCAGGCAGCCAGGTCCTTGGCCCACCATTGCCCACAGCATTGCATATGGATGTGAGCACTCAGAGAATCACAGAACAGGTCAGGTTGAAAGATACCACAGTAGGTCGTCTGGTCCAACCTCCCTGCTCAAGCAGGGTCATCCTAGAGCACACTGAACAGGACTGTGTCCAGACAGATCTTGAATATCTTCAGTGGGGAAGACTCCATAACCTCTCCAGGCAATCTGTTCCAGTGCTCAGTCATATGCAAAGTAAAGTTCTTCTTCACATTCAGATGAAACTGCCTGTGCATCAGTTTCTGCCTGTTGATTCTTGTCCTATTGCTTGGCACCACTGGGAAGAGCCTGGATCCTTCCTCCTGACACCCTCCTTTCAGATACTGATAGACATTGATGAGGTCCCCTAGCAGTTATCTCCTCTCAAGGCTGAACAGGCCTGGCTGCTTCAGCCTATCCTTATCCCTTAATCATCCTTGTTACCCTCTGCTGGACCTGCTCCAGGAGCTCCATGTGTCCTCCCTTTGTGAACATCCTTGGCTCATAAAGCCTTTCATTCTGTGAGGACACGCCCACACCCACACCTGACAGGAGAATGACCTTGGGTCTGAAAATCTTCTTTCATCCAAGCTATAAATCAGCAAAAAGTCTGATGAACTGCACCAGCAGGGAAAAAGATGAGAGACCAGAATTAGGCTTTCTGATGCCAAATAGGATTTTCTTTGTTCAGGGAGCTAGCTATTAGCTT